TAGCTTAATGTTCGCTATGGTTTGCACAAGATCGACATTGCACAAGCAGTGGGAACAGTTAGTCGATACATGGCGAACCCTGGTAAAGAGCATTGGAGTACTGTAAAGAAGTCCTGAGATATGTTAAGGGTACCTCAAATGCTGCATTATGTTATGGAGGATCATACTTTACAGTCAGAGGCTATGTTGATTCAGATTATGCAGGTGAACTTGACAAGAGCAAGTCCACCACAGGTTTTATGTTTACTATTGCTGGAGGAGCTGTAAGCTGAGTTTCGAAACTGCAGTATATCGTAGCTATTTCTACGATAAAGGCAAAATGCATCTCAGCTACACAAACTAGCAAAGAGGCAATATGGTTGCAAATGCTACTAGAGGAACTCGGACACAAACAAGAGAAGATTACTCTATTTTGTGATATTCAAAGCATTTTGTACATAGCAAAGAATCTAGCATTTCACTCGAAAACAAAGCACATACGAGTTCAGTATCACTTCGTTCGTGAGAAGGTGGAAGAAGGAAGTGTGAATATACATAAAATCGATACTAAAGATAATCTAGTAGATATGTTAACAAAGCTAATCAACAATGACAAGTTTACTTGGTGTCGATCCTCAATTGGCTAACAGAAACGTAAACAGCAAGAAATGAAAAATGTAGAAATGATAGAAGAGTCATGATAAAAGTGACTTTAAGTGGGAGAAATTTTGGTTGTAAAGCCACTTTTGGCTTTCTTATCCATTAAACCGCTTTTGACTTTCTTATTCATTAAGGGTTCGTTTGATTGCAAACTCTTCTATCTTGGAAAATTGTTTTACTAGAAATTGTAATTAGTCGTGTTTGATTGGTATAATTTTTCACCTGGAAAATGTTGATAATTTGGTGTCTGTTTGACTTTTTTTTCATGGAAATTGTCCATTAAAGTGATAATTTCATTTACCATTGGGTTTAGAATTTGTTTCACTTGCAAAAAAAAGAATGAAATTTTTTTTAAAAAAAATTACCGTACCGAATATCATTCGTTTGGCTTTGTTTTGTATGAAAATTGTCGATAAAAGTGATAAATTTTTTTAACAATGTATCTAAAAAAATTTCCAATTGCTTAAAAAAAAAAAGATGGAAAATCAATTCCCACCAAAACCGTGGGAATTGGTTTTCCACAAAACTAAGGAATTGGTGAACATGGAGCCTAAGGTGGAAAATAAAGTGTATCAAACAAGACAAAAGTGGAAGTTGTAATTTGTTTTTCATTTTTCATGGAAAATAATGCCCTATCAAAAAGGGCCTTAGATTTTTGGTTTTATCTTCTTGGCAAATGGATAGTTACAAATAAGCTAATGGATAATAATGGCAAGTGGATAGCTACAATAAGCTAATAGATAAAGTTGGCAAGTGGATAGCTACAATGCTAATGGATAACCACCTCACCACCTCTATATATATGTGTGAGTTACAACACATATGGTATCATCCCATTTTGGAGTGCAGAAAAACACAGAGAAAAAGAGAAAGTTAGAGAGAGAAAATAATAGTGAGTTTCTCCTAAATAGTTTGTCTTTCCTTTTTCAAAGTGTGTGTTTCTCCTATTACAAGAGAGAAGGCATTGTCAATTGTGCTATCCTTATCTATAAAGAGAAAGTGTTGTGATCCTTTTGCTATAGTGAAATCCTACAATTTGCTCGTGGTTCTTCCACGTAAAATTATTGTGTTCATCATTCTTCCTCGATTTTCTCATTTCTACTTTAATTGTAATTGGTTGTCCCATGCCACAACACCCTAACAATATGAATACTGCAAGTTTGCAATGTGATGTTTGGTACTTTTTTTTAAAGTAATCCATAGATTAGAAAACTGTTTTTTGTTCCATAATTCTCTCCAGGGAAGCGTTATAGAGATCTTGTTGGAAGCGCATATTATGTGGCGCCTGAAGTACTACGACGAAGCTATGGGAAGGAGATAGATGTCTGGAGTGCTGGAGTCATATTGTATATACTTTTAAGTGGATTTCCTCCATTTTGGGCTGGTAAGTTCAATCACAATAAGCAAATTATCTAAAGCGAGGATGATCGCTAGATTTTTGTCTATTTTTTGCAAAACTCCCAGGTTCTTGTTTGTCAACGATGAAATGCTTTAGCATTTATTCATCAGTACGACAATGCACCTTTAGATAATGACTTTTCCAGTGATTACAGAACACCATGGAAGAATAAAACTCGTGCTTGTCTTATCTATATTAATTACTCTCCACCATCCATACAGCAAATTAATTGGCTTAAGAATTGTGTTGTACTTCAGAGACAGAAAATGGAATATTTGAAGCAGTTTTAGATGGCTATGTGGATTTCCAAAGTTCGCCCTGGCCTTCTATATCAAAGGGTGCGAAGGATCTTATCCGGAAAATGTTGACAATGGAGCCTAAAAAGAGGATTACTGCAGCCGATGCCCTTGGTATGCAAAACAAGACTTTCTGTTGTTACATTTATGTACTCGAACTCTAAATGAAGATTTTTTTTTTTTTTGGAGCAGCAGATAAGCTGAATTCGAGTAAAAATAAGTTTTTTAGACTCCATAGCAACTACCTTGATTTTATCCAAAGCAGTAATATTTTTTTATAATGATTTGTGAACCAGAGCATCCGTGGCTCAAAGAAGACGGTGAAGCATCAGATAAACCTATTGATAGTGCCGTTCTAATCAGGATGAAACAGTTCAGGGCAATGAACAAGCTGAAGAGACTTGCATTAAAGGTATATTAACTATTATTAAGATTGGTAGTTTTCTAACATTTTCAGTTAAGGAAGAGTACAGTCTTTCAAAAGATTTAAAAGAAAAAAAAGACTAATGTAACTCGAAATATCTCCTTTTGGAGCTTTATTCCTCATAGCTGAAATTTGTATTGGCTATAAGGTTATTGCAGAAAACCTCTCAGAAGAAGACATCAAGGGATTGAAACAAATGTTTGAAAACATGGACACTGATGGAAGTGGTACAATTACATTTGAAGAATTGAAAACCGGGTTGTCTAAGCTAGGCTCGAAGCTCACTGAGGCAGAAATACAACAGCTAATGGAAGCTGTAAGAATTTTACCATTGTCTCATATCTCCTCCTGTTAGTTTATATCAGCCCTTTTCAATTCACGTACTCAAGTTAAAGATATAGATTTTTTCAATGATACTATTCGCTTAACACCATTGTAGAAATTTGAGTTATTGGATGATGTTATTTCTACTTCCAGGCTGATGTTGACAAGAACGGAACCATAGACTACATTGAATTTATTACTGTGACCATGCATCGTCATAGACTCGAGAACGAAGAGCATTTGTACAAGGCTTTTCAGTATTTTGACCATGATGGTAATGGGTAAGTATTTGTGTGATGAGTAATGAATATCAATACTAATGTAAATCGAATATCACCCTTGATATCATCATATCAGCAATTCTGGTTATCTTACAATTATTTGTTTTGAATTCAACAGATTTATCACCAGAGATGAGCTTAGACAAGCTATGCAACAATATGGAATGGGAGATGAAGCTACAATCGACGAGGTTATTAATGATGTAGATACTGATAGAGTAAGTTATTCTTCTTTGAACTCATCAGCTCGAGGTGATTTTATTTTACAATAATTCGTACAATAGGGGGTAATTAATCCATTTTTACTTCTCAGGATGGGAGGATTAATTATGAAGAATTCGTAGCTATGATGAGAAAGGGAACTGTGGACGACAAAGACGAGCTAACAAATTGGCCCTATTATGAGAAAGTGAATTCTGGATAACAAGAATGAGCTAGTCGATATTCTTGATGTATATCGTGTGTGATGTACTCATACAGATTCACTACAAAATTTGAAGCATATGGATAAGAATAAGATTTCACAAGCACTTATTTTCTCTATTGCTGAGTTCTTGCACTTTTGACATCTCAAAATAAATAAGTTATAAGCGAGGTTCAAGATTATGGTATGCAAAAAGGCATGCTAAAACAGGTTCACAAGTACCTAACAGAAGTTCTGATCTTTCAACTTTAAGAAGATAATTTGAAGAAACCATGGCGCTCAGCTCGGCTAAGTTCAGTTATTCTGCTTTCAATGTTTTCCCTACATCGATCATGAATTGATATTTGACATCAGATTTTGAAAGTCGTTCCATTGCGGTGTTTACATAATCCATTGAAATCATCTCCACGTCTGGCAATATACGTGTTCTGCTGCAAAATCAATCATCTTATGTGTCTCTTTCAGTCCTCCAATCGCACTGCCAGCCACCATCTTCCGCCCCATTATAAGCAAGGGGAACATTGGGAGCTCCATAATCTTATCCGGCGCACCAACCATGATCAGCTTTCCATCAGTCTTCAACGAACTGCGGAGACAGTATCAATTATCCCATCCAATGTTCCAGCCTCAACCTGCATTTCCTTTTCACCCCGGCTAATCAAAAGGCGTCAGCAACTAGCTTCTTAATTGCTTCATTCTTATTAACCGATGTACTGATTGTTGGGTTTTGATACCCAATGAATCTCGGATTATGATGTAAACGTTGGATTAAATTGTTACCGACACCAAGTCCAAAGGCTCGACCCAAAAACAACGTGGGCCTCTGGAAGTAGTTTAAAGAATTAATGTTACTCACAACCCATATCTATTACTTCTTGGATGGCTTTGAATCTTGACCCATTTAACTCTTTACCGGTTCAACTAAAGCCTAAATTAGCCTCTATATGTTGCCTTTTACCCTAGCCAATAGTGGATGATTTGTGAATGAAATTAGAAGAGAATGTATGTGCCTTGAGAGAGCAAAAAATCGGCCGCCATTGCTTTGAAAAAATTGGTGACTTCCCTTGATATTTTTTGGCCTCTTTTTGTCCCTCTTTCATTGTTTTCTTCTTGCCTTTGTGGTTTACAAATAATCTCTGTCATCTTGTTCATTGTGGGTGAGATTGAAGAGTAACGGAGGTGAATGTATTAGTTGTGGGTTAGGACAGTTTGAATTAGTTTTTTGGTAGAGAAAGATAACATGAAATTGAACCCAGAAATCACCCATTTGATGATCCTTGAAGAGAGCTTCTACGAAAATTAGTATCAGAGCTTCAAGGTGGTAGACTTGGCTCAAAAAACTGATTGAAAATTGTCCAAAAAATCGGTTGAAACGAAGTAGAAAACAAATCGCAAAACTGTCGAGAAACTGTCCAAAAATCGAGGCTGTTTTCGTAATTTTCGGCTAATCCACGAATTTGGTGAAACGGAGACCATTAGTGTGACGTGCAGGTGGAGGCGCTTCTGGGTGGCCGGTTGCCACACGCAGAAATCTGGTGAGCGTGTGATGGTGCGTAGGGCACTTTCAGGTGACGGTGTCTTTAGGCAGTTTGTTCCTAACATCATTTTGACATTTTGATGTTATTAGTTTTTCGTTTCAGGTTATACAGTGGAAAGATAAATAGAAGGGTAAGATGAGAGGTAATGCAAACGTGGCTATAGGGTCGAGTAATGACCCTAACGAGGTTTATTGAGAGTAAATCTGGTTACTGCATGTGCATCTATGTGTAATTTTTTTTTGCATGTGTGTGATTACTTAATTCTGTTGCATGATTATATGTTGCATTTCAATTTATTTGATATGTATATTTGCATGAATTTGAGAGTTATCTGATTACTTGGTGTAATTATTTGCATGTATAGTAAGCTGTGATACATTAGCGGTATGTGTGATGTGTGTTTATTGTTGATGTGGAGTACAGATACCTAGGAGTGCATTGGTAGTATGTACGGGAATGTGGAGTGTGATATTTGAATCACAAGTGAAGATGTGATTAACTGTTGGAATCATTTACTTGTGAAGATTATGAAGATTACGATCGGGTGGAGTGTGAAAGATGTACTGATATGCTCGAAATGGCGTACCAACTAATTTTCCTTACTTAGCTTAAATGTGTCGTCTTAAATAGTAATATGGCAAGTAAGGGTCATATAACGCAGAAGATAGTATCAATAAAATCAATTGCAAACTAGAAATTTAATTTAACAATTATATACTAAAGTAATAAAAAGTGGGAGTTTGGATAGTTAAACT